TCGCGGAAAGATTGAAAAGAAAATGCAAGTATTTGTGGATTAACCAACTTTATCTAAAAAAGTTTGAACGATTTATCAATAGCGCGACGTCCGGCTGCAAGAAAATATCACTCAAGTATTTTTCTAGTGAAATTACAAGCGACAAATTGTGACGTAAAATCAAATTATTATTTGCAATTTTGATGAAGAAAAATTATAAGCTATCAAGAGACTTCTCTTCGCCAGGAATAATAATATATGAATAATAAAATTAGATTGACTACACTGGCTTCAAATATTTAGATGAAATTTTATTTACGTTTCGATCATACGATTTGTGATCCTTTTCAAAATTCACACAAAATTCTTAACCCATATCACATCTATGGGATCAGAAGCGCGAAATTGTCAAAGATGCCGCATATCAAAAAGTCAAATTATCAAATCAAAAGCACAACGAATATAAGTTATGACATGATTCGAGTACAATAAGTTATGGCGAAACGTAAATAAAATTTCATCTAATATTTGAAGCCAGTGTAGTCAATCTAATTTTATTATCCAGAAAAAATTATAAAGTCCTAAACTATCGATACGTAAGAGAAAATCTATGCTCGTGTCTTTCGAGACAAAATTAATTTCTGGTATAACAGAATGTCTCTCAGATCCGACAATCAGGGGTGAACTTGTTTCAGCTTCCTCCCGACTCAAAGAACCATAAAACTCGATCCACCGACGGTCGTTCGAATCAATAGCAAGCTCATTGCGTCAACAACGTAATTCTCTACTTAAGGAGATTTTAATCCGATCGCTTTTCACGCGTCGTCAAAAAGTGCACTTAATCTAGTCTAAACATGAATAATCTAGTCTCTTGCATTAACCATTATAACAATTATCGCTAAGATGAAAACGTAGGTAATTTGACATACGAAAAATAATTGCATATTTTATCGTGAAAGAAAAAATAAAAATTGTCGTAACTAGTTGTTATCAGGTACTTTTACATCCGTGTAATCTAATTTGCATATAAAACAAAGTTATTAATAATTTAACGTTTTCCTTTCCTGTGTCCGTCAACGCGCGAACACATATTGCATATGCATATTTAAACATTCCGTTTTGAGTCGTAAAACGTAATAACAATTGCACAAAATTAATTCACACAACTAACAATTATTTTAAACAGTGTATAATGTACCTACGCATAAAAATAAAATTTATTTGTTATCAAAATAAAATTTATTTTATAGACACCTTAGTACACAGATCTATACAATTACTCGGAAAAGGATAAATATATGAACAATATATGATTTATCACTGCAAAAAATATCCAGTATAGTAACTATGAGTACCTAAAGCTGCTTTAGAAAAAGATATTTGTGCTACGTAATTTATATGAATGACCTAGTGTCAAATTGAATACATTGTCACAGAAATAAATACCGTCACTTTAATTCATTCATTTTCTCGGTCGGAAATTTCGATGAAAACACGCGAAAGCGGGCAAACTTTTCTCGCGTGGAGGCAACGGCAAAGTTTCCGCGGAAGAATTCGGGAAAATTAATTTCGCGAACGTAGAACGCGAATGATGTGTGAGTTCGCCTGCATCGAACACGTTCGAGGGCCGAGCCGCCTTCCATCAGAAACCACGGAAACGGACTCAATGAGTGGCAGTCTCGCGAACGAAAAGCTCGCGAACCTTACGTTAACGTCACGGAAGTGCTTCTATACCAGGGGTAAGTTTTGAAAGGCAATTATGGAAATTATTTATTATGACAATAGGCGCGCGCGCGAGGCAATGTTGGACGCCGGAAAATCCATTCGTTTACAAGTTTCGTATTATCCGCGACATATGTATATGGTACATTGCGGCCAGTATTCGAAAAGTTCGACAAAATTGGAAGTACGAAGTGCAACAGAGTGTGCTGCCGGCGGCGATTATGCTTAATCCCGCCATCGATGAAGTTTGATATTACGTGCACGTCGACGTCGCCTTTAAACTTCGTGGCGCTTACGAGCCCGGCAGCTATATTCTCCCGTTAAAGTCCGCGGATTATCCGTTGTCTTGCGGTGATGTTAAAAACGTGCAAAATGCGTCAGTTTTCTCACGCAAATGCAATTTTAAAAGAGAAAAGGAAATACCCCTCGGGTAAAGAAAAAAGATGCAATCAAGCATTAATTGTAATCAAAATCAAACAAAAGGGATTCTATTTTTATCCTACTCTATTTTTTAGATTTATTTGTCACAGCAAATATTTCTTTACTCCTTAAGAATATTAGTTTGTTATACAACCTTAATGCGTACAAAGACTTAATTAAATTACGATAAGTAATCCGAGTATCTTCAGATCTCTCTAAATATCGTCGCTATGACAAAGGGGACAATGGGGAAGTGGAACAAGTATCTCTATCCCAGTTGGAATCAACTCCGGCAACTAACAAGAGTGCACGCAATTCTGTACTAATCGCGAACTCGCCCTAAACATCGCACAGTCGGAAATTCGTGGCGCACGGCTGTCTGACTGTGTGAAGCACTTGACGAAATATAATTCGCAACTGAGAAAGTGCTTGCTGCACACGCGGCTGATCCGGAAGTGCAATTCGGAGTTGGTGATAGTTCGTGCATGCACCACGGATATCTGCGCTATTGCAGTTGTATAACTCGGCGTCTTAATCAAGAATCACGAATTTGAATGTAAGAATGCGGATTACGTGAGAATGAAGAAATTATTATCAATGTTAGACAGAGAGACGCGATTGCGTTAGAGTTACGTATCTTGAAACACCTCGCGTACAATAACATCAATGTATATAATCAAAATTTGAATTATGACAGAAATTCCACATCCATATTTCTCCTTTTATATTTTTCTCCTGAATAATATGCTTTCCATATAACGTTATTATGCAATATAAATATGCAAATGCTTGTTTATTCAAAAGCAGCGGCATAAACATTTCACCGAAACGTATTTGGGATGCATTCATTACAGAGATAGAAAGATAATTAATTAAATTGTACTTAATAATCACATAATTGTACATCTCACTTACACGTCTACACGCATAGGCATGTAACATTTTATCATTTTAAAATTACTTAGTAGTGTTGATAAAAATATACTTAGTAGTGTTGATAAAAATTTAACAAGAAGATTTATACATATGTTTGTTTAAAGAATTGACGATAATTTTGATAATACTATATAATGAAAAGAGCGAGTCTCAACTAAATATTTAAATTGAACCGACAGAACTGACGCATACTGCTAATGATGATTTTTGCCATCCGTAAAGGTTTTCAAGCGAAATGAAAAAAGCCAGCATGGACTAGTGCGGAGACTCGTTATTTTCGCATTCGTTATTTTGCAGATGACGTTTGTCGATTTTTATGTCGTAGCGAAACGACTTTACGTCGAAAACTGTAGTTAATCAAAGGTGCCCGTTGCTAGAGTTAACGAAATCCGGAATGACTGGAAACAAAATTGGTCGGAACTAGAACTGCTTTTGCAACTCTTTTCGAGTTTTTCATTTTTCAACAAAATTTCCGCGTCAATTTATATTTTTCCCCGTATTTGTTTTTTTTTTCCGTAGCAAAATAAATATTCAATACAAAAATACAGCTTTCTCGAGACAGGGATATTTCATAAACTAATACAGAAAAAATAGATTGCATTGCGAAAGAAATTATATCGCGTGTTTCGATAGAATATTTTCCAAGTATTGCAAATTCTGGATATATATTTAATCGATGATTTAAATAAATATTGTATATGAAACATATAAAATATTGATATTACCACCGATATTTTAATCTGCGATAATCTGACAAAAACATAAAAGGATTTTGTACAGTTATTATTAGCACAGTTCCGTGTTGACTAAACTAATTTCAATGAAATAATTTTGATTTCAATAGAATAATGTCTTGTCGCGTTACGTTCTGCGTAACATTGATAAAAGATTCGCAGGAGAGAGAAAGAGATATCTTTCGAATAGCACGCGTGATATGCTTAACAACTAGAAAATGCACGTACGGTATACGTGTACACGATATCGCGCGGATTTCAGAGGAAATCCGGCTTTAACGTCGCGCTGCCGTCACGAAAAGGAACATTACCGTCACGTCAAGATATAATGTGATGTATTTAAATGGGTCCGTTCACGTACTGCCACGCGAACTTTTACCGTACGCGACTGACGTAACGCGACAATCCGTGACGTTCATGTTACATACGATCTCCAATGTGACGCGTCGCGCCGTTGTGAACGTTAACGGTCTAATGCCCGAGTTTCCGCCTTGACGCTTCGAGAGTCAAGTGGCCTCGTAGAATGCGATGCACCGTAAATCCGCCGAAAGTTGGCGGAGAGAATCCCATGGGCGCCTGTTTTCGAACTATCATTCGCAAACATGTCATATAAAAAGTTACGAGATATTCAATTATTCCGTTGCCGATCGCAACTTATTGTTACTCATATTAAAAAGGACCCAGGATCGAAATATTGATCGATTCATTTGAAATATATATATATATACAGTCTGACATAAGGTGTCACACTGAAAATATACAAGTAAATCTTGTTATTTAGAGACAATTTTTCCTCAGCAAAAATCATTGACGCATTAATCATTTTTGAGTTATAAGCGATTGAAAATAAAGGGTTTTTCGCAAAACTAAGCCTTGTGGAAAGAAAATATTAACAAAACCACATTCTCCAATTAATTTCAAGCAGAGTTTACATTAATAAAATTTTAATTTAAGGTTTAGTTATAAAGATACATGATGGCAAAAATTAGGAACATCCAAAAAATGATGGTTTTTCTCGACATTTTTACTGAGGAAAAATCATCTCCAAATAACGAGATCTACTTGTATATTTTTGGTGTGACATTTTATGTCAGGCACCCTATATATTCTTGTATGGAAAGATAGTGATTTTACTTATAAAAATAAACTATAAATTTCCTCATAAAAATAGATTAGCGCAATGACAAAAGAAATATTTCTGTTTTTCAGGTGGTATAGCGTCATGCCTAAGAAACTTTCGAACCGATTTCCTAGAGGAATGGCCAACGCCAGGCACCGGACCTCACTTCGACACCTCTATGCAATCGAACTTCACCGGACTCGTGGGGAAGACGGTGCATCTCGTGTGCAAGGTGAAGAACTTGGGGAATCGAACGGTAAGCCATCGGGAAAATCCATCGTCTGGTTCGTGACCAGGAGCGCTATATCTTAGCTCCTAGAAGCGGACAGCGCGCTGGCCAGCTACGCCACGTCTCGCTGTTGAATAATTTAAGGGTAGGGCCGCACGAACGACCTTGCGACCCTTCCTTCCTTCGCGATAGTAGCGGATACTTGAACGGCGCGTCACGTCGCCAGATTCGCCCGCTCACTCGCGCTCGTGTCTCTCTAGCCGCTCGTTAAACAATTCTTTAATCAATTAATGACCGATGGAAAGTTAAACTGTCATTTCGGCCGCAATAAAAAGGATATAAAAAGTAACACATCAGCGAGAGAGAGAAAGAGAGAAAAGGTATTTGATTTATCAAATATACAAGGAACTATTTTAATTTTGGAACTGGAAGGTTCTCTCTTATAAAAATCATAATATATTATAGATATAGATCGATCTCGTTTTAGCAAAGATTTTATAGCATTTAACTATAGTTGGTGAAATCGATTACACGAACATTTATATCTCAATCAATTAAATATATCTATTGTTATATAATCGACTGTCTAATTATAGTGATGCGGCAATCACGCGCATATATGCAACAGAAAATGAGCGCATTTCTATGAAATGCGAGCCTTGCTTATGAAATATAAAATTGTTCTTCTTACATGAAGTCCATGGCGTAGTTCGTTCAGCGTAGATGGGGGTTATTAAATAAACATTACTGTTCCTTCATCGAGCGCAGTGCCGGCGTCTCATGAAAAAGGCAAGCGATGTTAGCGTTTATGTTCCTACATTATTAACCGCTCTTCTTACGTGGGGCAAACTAAAGCAGTTTTTTTTGACATTTGTACAGCGTGTCGACGAATTGCACCTCTTTCGAAAAAGCGCTCTCTCTCTCTCTTGTACAATTCTCTAACTACACTATTAAATCATTCTTTAAATGCGAATTACTGTTTGCGTATTCTATTTAACAACAATTATTTATATTATTTGTCGCTTCCTCGTTGCGCGTTTAAATATTGCAGTTAATTCTATATCTATTATTTTTGCGATTGATTGAACGTGCTGCTGAATAAATTCGTGAATATAAAAATTAAAAATTGCAGATTTGATTATATAAAGTAAATACAATCTAAGTAAATGCATATCTCGACCTGAAATTTTTTTAGGAACGGCACTGCGCTACTAAATCGATTTTGCATATATCGATAGTCTTTTCTCTCCTATAATTGCACATTTATTATCTCTATAGCCTAGATTTGCGTGTGCTCGTATACTAAAACCTGAGTAGTTTTCAAGAAATTACCGATATGTTTTTTCCCTTTAGAAAGTTTCAATATCCATTGGCTACTTTTGTTTAAGTACATTACCTGATATCAAAGTTACAAAGTTAGTAGATATGAAGTATTTCATTGCTCGACGAATCGCGAATTGCAACTTTTTTCGTTCATCATCGCGGAAACGAGGTCAAAGTGTTTACTCTCGATAGGAAAGTGCGAGTACGCCCGGAACATTCGTCATTCGAGCTTACAAAAGCACCCCGTTACATTCTACGTACGCTTAATCCGTCCTTTCGAGCTTACTTTGTTGACGTGATATCGTCGGATCTGTTATGATATATGACCTGCTATCATATACCGACCGCTCTGGAAGATCAAGCGCCGCCGTTTGCGCGAAGATGCATAATTAGCAGCTGTTTATCTGGGCGAGCTAAGAAGCCGCTGCAAATACATGGCGGATGATAATAGCTTCATTAGCAAACGTATAGAGGCTCTAATCCGTTCAAGTTTGTTTGAATTCGGCTTATATTCGGCCTCTCTTCGAGAAGCGGATCGATATCGCCGCAGAATCGATCTTGTAATCTTCATTATCTCGATAGAATATGGTAAATGCAAATTAATTACCTCTAAAAAATTCTAATAAAAATTTTGAAAACTTCATGTTAAAACCACAAACTTCTATATATAAGCTATATGTAGAAGTTTGTGGTTACAACAAATGTTACTGTCATTCATTTCTTTCATCAAATTTGTTTTTGAAAGATAGATGAACTTTAGAAAAAAAAGAAAGATAGCAAAAATAGTCATGTTTTGTTTAATCATTCAACTTTGAACGTTATAACGAACAATATTTTACATTTATTTGATATTGATGAAAATAGAATATGAAATATTCCAGTCAATTTTCCTGCTCGCAATACGCTCCGCGTTGTAGAATAAATCGGTCGAGGTTGAACAATAACAATATAGCCAATCATTGAGAGACCGTAATTATCCTTTTGCATTTTCAAATATCCATTTCGTGGTCTTCCGATAATAATTAGTGATTAGCGTAGAGTTTATACGCTGCGCAAACATACGAGAACGGTTCGACGTTTCGAAAACACGCGGCTTAAACATCCACATTGAAACGTGGATTAACGATGGATTCGATGAGTAATATAAAATCTTTATTAAGCGAAGCACATAATCGCGAACACGCGGACTACGGCTTTCCATGCTTACGCCGTTTGATGTTACACACGATTCCCGTAATGATTTATGAATATTAATTGAACATTATGTAAGAGCCACCCTTTTACCCCTTCGGATATTCGAACATAATTGAACGCTGTCAACGCGCGGCTCTGTTCGCAAAATTAAACCGAACAAACAAAACGTGTTCCGGATCCACTTCCATAACGAGAGATGTCGATTATGTCGATGCGCCATGCGCGGTTTCGAACGACAAAATGGTGTGATGTTTTAGAGCACAAAACTAGTAATTATTATTTTTATTATTATATATGTATATTATATATATATATATATATATAATAAATTATAATTATTATGTATATAATAAATATAATAATAATAATAATATATATAATTATATATAATATATATATATATATATATATATATATATATATATATAATTTTTGTTATTATAATTATATTATATCGTCTGGTAAAGCTTTCAGCATAAACACAAGTAAACAACATTTATGTATCTACAAAAAGGATACGTGATATAAGTAGTTTTAAAAAAATGAATAAAATTATATTCTAAACAAAATTATTCTGCGCGATCCTCTGACAGTTAAATCCCTCAGTTTTCATAAATTGTCGTACAAATGTACTCTGCAATTTTATAACTCAAAGTGCGCGTCGTCGCTCGCTCTCACTTTGTTTCAGCCAGGCTAACTCAAATTACTACTGTCAGTAGATTCGAAGGTTTTTGTCCGTTTTCTGAAATAAAACCTAGCAACATTGCACTCGCGCATTGCTGCTTCAAAGCACTCAAGATTATTAGAAAGCGTACCGCGCGTTCGCAAAGACCGTGCTTTTTGTTTTTTTCTTGAAGCTGCGAAAAGGTATCGATGTATCCTTACATCGCGTCGATCAATCACAGTCTTTTCTTCTTCATCCAATGAAAGCTCATGAATAAAGGATCCATCAAAATAAAAAGGCTGTGAAAATTTACAGCGTTCTGTGATTATCGGCTTTAAAGTTTATTACGAATTAACATTGCATGTAAATCATTTATATTCTGCAGTCAAATATTATGTTTTATTAAATTCATTAATATTATATAATTCAAATATTTGTTAATATTAATATTATATATATATTTTAAAATATCAAATTAATGTATATTATACATGTATATAATAAATTCATAATGAAAAATAATTATTTTCCGAGACAGTCCAATACATTTATTAATGGTTAAAAATCGGCAAATATATATCTATATTCGATATTCAAAACTGCGAAAATGCACAAAAATGCAAGATTCTCTAATAATATTTACATATACATATACAATTGAGTTCTCGTGCAACACGTGATTTGTAGTTTCGCTTTTGGTTAAGCTTATCTTAAACTCGTCATAAAGGATACAGAGAAATATCGCCGTGCATCATACAGCATTATCGCGCGGAGGTTTCGGTTGAATTTTGCCAAAACAATGCAGAGGTTAGTGCCAATGACACATGCGCGTCAAATCTCGAGCACGCGAGAACTGACACAAGTACCAAAATTCGACGCTGCGATGGGACGGTGCAAAATTTCTATCATAGTTTATAGCTGCATCGCCTCGTACAGACAAATCTAGCGAATTTAGCTATATGTGGCTTTAACGTTTCATTACTTCGATATATAGGCTTTGCTACGAATTGAACACAATATTGCCGCAGAACAGATTATCATATCAACGCTACGGAAAAGATATTCTGTATAAAATAAAAATGCAGCTTTTAGTTTAACGCGTATTTTAAAATTTGCGCTTGCTACATTGCTATTCTAACATTTTATAAATCTATTTTAATTCGATTCTGTAATTTTTAAATTGCAAAAAAGTGTTGTTTCCATTTGAAATAACCGTAGTTTCCAATTTCGTCTACGCGATCGATTTTATTTGCGTCATTCCCGTTGGAGAATGTAATCCTTCTATTTTGCAAAAGCCGCGCTTTAAAGCTGCATGAAGACGGTGAATTCAAGCTGAATCCAGCTATAGTGAAACAATCGCGCCTGGAAAATCCCGCAGCGCCCAGAGTCTGTAGAATCGATTTCAATAGCCGACTATCAAAAGCCGATTTTGCATTTCGCATAGCGTGTTAGGTGAGCACGGCACGACAGTTGCGACGCCTCTGTTTTCCTCGTTCCGTTCTTCGGCGTCGGAGCGCGGCAACCCCGTCGTTTCTCGCCGGGGATGGATAGATTTTGTTTGGCTTTCAGCCGGCAACGCTAATGCCAATAACACGCTCGTGTCATCTCGAGAGCTCCAGCTGGCGCAGGTGCCGGATGCAGGACGAGCCAGGACAAAACGAATCTCTCGATGGCGACGTCACTCCCGTCGAGAGGACGTCAACCCGCGATCGGTTAATACATCGAAGCTTCCGTAAAATGATCCGAAAAGCGCGTTGTGTCCCACTCGCGATCGCGCAAATATATACTTTCACCTCTTTCGGTAAAAATGAAATTAAAAACTGCATTAAACCCTTATACATTTTGAATCGTGTGAAACGACGTTATACGAAAAATCGTGAATTTTAATTATGTAAACTTTTTATATCTACTCTTTTTTTTGCTTAAATAATGTATCAGATACGTTATTCCTCCAATCTAAAGAAATTTTCTAGACCTATCCGTCCTGATTATGTTCAAGAAGATATTGAAGTGTCCGTATTTCGCGCGCGACGACTTGAAAAATTTCCACGCAAGCATAATTAAAATGGATGCCATCGAAAAATATATTCCGTGAAAGCATTATCCTCGACGAGCCATAAGAGATAAAATATGCGAAACGAGGTGAGAATTCGATGGCTCTCACCTCGTTAGCTCGATCAATTTCACTGGCATGATGACAGAGATAATTTCATCTAGAATTAAAGGACAAAAGTTAATTACTCTGCTGGCGTTTATTCGATACGTATTTTATGAGCCACGATATCGATAAGTTAAAATTTGGAACAACTCATTAAATTTTCCGCAGAAATGTATTATTATTATGCCCAAAAATCATTTGCAAAAATTTTATTAAATTAAAAATTAATGAGCAATAATAAACACAATATACGTTTACAATAAGTAACTAATAAGTAATGAGCGATTTGCTTGTGTATAACGGTTAATTTATCGCGTACATAATGAGCAGAATTATTTATGTATATTTCCAATTTGATAAAATTGCACTTTGTTAAACCAACTTATATTACAATCTCTCGATAAAGTCTCGTTAATTTTTTTTCAAACCGTTGAAATATCAATAGCAAATAAAATCAATCATGTGCGCGAATGTCGGCCGTGCGGTTGTCGCCAATTTCCAGAGTTAATTAGGGTCAATCAAATGTAAATGCTACTCAAGAGAATGCAGTCGATGAAATTGCATTAACAATCTATTGGCTTCGCCCACGTTTCCTACGTGCGGATGCGGTGAAACTAGTGCATTTCATTATGTGCACTAAAACTCCAATGAAACTTACGTGCGTTAATTTTTCTCTTTGCAATACACAATAAGTTAAATTTCAGGCAAATTTAATTCATTTTTTTTTCTTTAGTTTAAAACATGTCACTGATTTTAACAGTAAAAATTCACCAGCAGGGATACAAGATAATATTAAACAAACAAATATAATTGATTTTTGACAGTTGACTTTTGATTTATTTGTCAAATAATGTATTATGCAAACAACACCGTGGGCAACGCCATAAGGTAGATAAATATCCTGTAGGATAGACAACGTGTGATAGATGTTGACAGTTCACTTATATATTGTAGATACATAAACATACGTACACACATACATAACTATATAGGTGTATATATAATACTTCATTGTCAGTTGATTCTTGATAATAAAAAAATGTCGATGTACTTTTTGCTGCAAGTATCAAATTTTATTTCTATTTTTGTATTATAATTTCATAATAATAAAATTGTGTACATGTGGGAAAAGCATATAAAATTTATTATTTAAAAGTATGAAAATTGTTGCTGCTTTTTCGTAATGAGGATTGAATTTCGATATGTGTTGTGTATTTCATATTAATGAGACTCTGATTGAGTAAAGATTGTGTAATTTAACAACTTGAATGAAAGAATAGAATGTGAATAATTTTATTTGATGCGAGAACTAATTATCATTGCTTTTGAAAAATGCAAAGAATGCACTTCTCCCAAGTTTGAACAATATGAACAAAAGTATTAGAAATAGAATTTTTACAAAACCAAAATGTTACTTGAATGACACTTGCATAAACCAATACCTATTTGATGAATTGATTTGAAAATGAGCGATTAAAAACATCTTTTAGAGACGCTTCTAAATAAAAACTTAATGAATGCTATTTGTTAAACACTTTTAATAAATATTTATATTAATTCAATAATAGCACGCGCCTTTGTATGTTATATATATATAGTTTCTTAAATTTTACAATTTAATTAATTACACAAAAACAAAAATTTTTGTTTTATTATTATTAATAATAAAACGCAAAAAAGATATAATTGTTAAAAAGTATTAATTATTATTAATATTTCTGAAATATAATAATGACTAATTTTTTAAATGTAATAATCAATAATGACATCTTTTTTCTGTTAGGTTTCCTGGGTGAGGCATCGAGATATACATTTGCTAACGGTTGGTCGTTACACCTATACCAGCGATCAACGTTTCGAGGCACTACACTCTCCTCATACGGAGGATTGGACCCTGAGGATACGATATCCTCAGCGCAAGGACTCCGGGATTTATGAGTGCCAAATATCAACGACCCCGCCAATCGGCCATCCCGTATATCTCACGATAGTCGGTAAGTAAATAAATGTTTTATAACAATTAATTGTATAGCATTAATTTGATTTTGAGTCTGAAAAATCGAATCTGACGACGGGCTTTTATATAAATGGTCGGAAAATATATTATACTCGATATTATAATAATGATCTTATCTGCGAAAATTGTGCGAACACGTAATTTTCTTCAAGGTAAAGTTTTCAGACTGTTGACGGAACTCTTAGACAAAATTGTATTTCATTCTAAAAGATATATTTATATATAGATATTAATTTCGAAATAAATTTCACAGAAACGTGCTTGATTCAAACGTTTCACTCGATGAAATATAACTTTGAAAGTTTTCCGCTAGCTTGAAGAAAATACAGAGCTTCTCTGTAATTGCTTCGCACAATACAAACTTTGTTTAATTAACATATCAAACAGAATTTTTATTTATAATTAATTCAAGGTACAAATAGTAAAATTTAGAAATGCTATATAATTAAAATATTTAATTTTTTCTTTTTGTTTTTTTATACAATTAAATGTGATAAACAAATTTTTAAGCAATCTTTAATCAATATTAGCGAAAAATCAAATAAATATCGTGCATATTATATTTATGCGTACATAAAAATTGTAATTAAATTTTTGAATACCAAATTTAAGAAGTTTCAAAAATATTTGTATCAAATATAAGTGCCTCATAAGTAAGCGCCTGAAAGGTGCGTCTTGCATTTATATTCAAGTAAAGCGTGTAATGAGGTCATATATCCTTGAAGATATATCGTTAATGACCCTCGTGATACTTTAAACAGACCGTACAGGCAAAGAGAGGATCTTATCGACACGACTTGACCCAAAAGCTCTCCCTACGACATAGAACGGGCTCCGTGCTGTGTGTCGCGCGATAAAAATATTGAATACATATGCGCCAAGATTTATATCGCCTGGTTACGGTCGTTTAACCGATCCACCTGCACGATCGTCAAGGAGCTACAAGGCCGCCTCGAGCTGTGATCGCCCTTCTTGTTTTAGAGCCGGTAACCATTATAGTCGGAGGGCCGGATCTCTTCGTCAATAAGGGCAGTACCATCAACCTGACGTGTGTCGTAAAGTACGCTCCTGAGCCACCCCCGGCGATGACTTGGAGTCATAACGCGGAAGTGAGTGTTGCCTCCGCAAATAAATCCTTGAGAAATGACAGAATTGTCACAAAAGCGAAAAATCTTTCAGTTTTAACGATTCTGACATTCTGAGTTCTAAACTCGGTAGTAAAATTTTTAGAATAGAACTCTGTTAAAATCCCAATTTAAGAAAATCGAGAATCTTCAAGACGCTAATAGGATCCAATTCCGCTCTCATTTGTTACATGTAAGATTATTTTTTACGTGAATTTTTTTGGAGGAGGATACAATTGCTGCAAAATTAATAAATTAAAATGAATTTAACAGAATTCATCTGTCTAAGCAAAGATTAGTCTTAAGATTTTCAGCACAAGTATGCTCGGATGAGAATTTCAAGCTTTAAGGATTTGATGTTCTCTATTTCTGATTTTCCGCAATTTATCTCGTAGCGAATCTCGTTCTTTGCCGTGTCGACAACAGACGCGCATGATTAATACGGTCCGTTGACGCGTATTTTCTTCGCGATGTTGGGAAATGCATTTTAATGCTTTTAATGCCATTTTGTGCTAACAAAAGTTACATCGTAAACGCGCATTGTGCAAGAGACACATAAAGAGCGCATTACGCGCGCCGCGGAACTCTAATATTGACGAACTCGTTAAAATAATTTTGCAGCACAAACGTTCGCGGCGTCCGTCGCGCGATTTTATATTATTACAATGACAAGATAATTATAAATTCCCCTTTGCGCAATGCCGATATTTTGCAATTCCACGTATGATATCGGTCGAGCAGAGATAATTCTGCCCGCATTAATGAGACGTTTCGTGCATGTATGCATGTATAGTATTGTACATATATATATATAACATATATACGAACGACTCTCGGATTAAAAACTCTCGTAAGCTGGCCGATGGGAAAAAAACAATAATTTCTCGGCTGATTGGCGATATATTGGTACGTCATCGATACGCGCTGCACTCGACCGGCTGCTCTACGTGCTTTTACTAGAATGAAACAGCGGGTAACGCAATTTTCGCAAGGCACTATCGCGCACGTTGATCAAAGTAAAACGCGAAATACATGGAAGATCGCTCGCTCGCGCGTTTGGGGTAGCCAAGGAACGAAATTATTTTCCGATTAATCCTTCACGGTTTTCGATTTGCGGATAATCATTTATTCCGTAATGCAGATATACACGGCGAAACGGTTCCGCCGTCTCGCACGAAGCGTTACAAAGCGAGTTAGCTTTTTATATAGAAAAAAAGGGATGGAAATAGGAAGAGGAGAGAAAGAAGAAAAACCGGAAGAAGAAACGCGGTAGATATTTTTCCGTTCTGTGCAAGTTCTACGCGTGTCTATCCTCAAAGGGAATACATAAGAAACGTATATACGTGCTCCCCTACTATTCTTTACCTTGTACCTCGAAGGAAGATGCCTTTTATCTTTCGCCAAAGAGGCTTCATTGCGTTGTCGGTTGTAAGAATGGGGATTCCAGGGGAAATGTAAAGAAACAGGCGCGGATTCTTTGAAAGAATGATTGCGGATAAGACGCATACGACGACGCCGCGCCTACACGTTCAATATTAGGCGACACGAATCAAAAGAAGAGTTACAGTTCTCTTATATTTCCGTTATTACCGGTTAGCCTGAAGCTACAATGTCTCAGAGCTCAGAATTTTCAGAAACTTACAATAGTAGAGTTTAGTCAGACGCTATCTCATTTCCGACACGCGAATTCGTAGAGAAGACTATAGAGCTATCGATTTAATTTTCTGTTGAATTATTTATTGATTTCTAGAAGAGTATAGGAACTTTTATTACTAAGATTATATATGTATTTGTGTCTGTATCAAATTTTAGACAGATGAAAATTATATATGATATAATCTATTCAAACTAAATCTATTCATTCTCATTAATAATTCTGTACATATAATTATGTATGTTATACATCAAATGATGTTATCATTGTTATTATTATTATTAGCTTATTATTAAATATGCAAATGTAATACCTCTATCGTTGTTAGTTTCTGCCTAATTTGTCACTGTGTTTTGTTCTTCAATTAATCGCAAACACATCAAGCATGTAATTTCATAATTTTGAGAAAGAAATTTACGTGTATGTTGTGATTTTGCCCAGGTTATCAATTTCGATTCGCCGCGCGGTGGTATCAGCCTCGTCACGGAAAAAGGACCCGAGACGACGAGTCGTTTGATGATCCAGAAAGCCGTGCCAAGCGACTCCGGGATCTATCGATGTGAGCCGAGCAACGCGAATCCCAGTAGTATAAAGGTGCACGTTGTCAACGGTGAGTTGAAGTTTATGTATATACATATATAAGAACGTGTCTTAAACACACATAATTTTAAGCACATATAAGAAGCACGTATAAAGAAAATGCATATATATTCCGATTGTATGCATCAATTCATAATAAAGCACATATTTCCTATTTTCCATGTGCATATTTTACGTTATAAAATTGTGTTATTATATTTCAACGAATCCTTATTTTCGCGTAATATATAACCTGTTTTTCTTCGTTCTGTTTTTCAATTTTCCAATGTCGATGCGAAATTTTTTTTCCAATTTCTGACCAGCATTTTGCGGGCTTCCGGTAAATTGGAAAAAAAATCGAGAGATCCAAGCGGCTTTACTGCAATTACAACGAATCGAGAGAAATGGCGCCCGTTGCGTGAAGAGCTGCGGAGAAGTAACATTGATTGACTTCTCTGTAAATATTGCAAGCTCCGAATGTACCTAGCAAGTCGCGCGTTAAGCCTGAAATCGATGGCTGCGGCGATTGCTCGAACGTGGAACACCGCGAATAAACCTCCCGTACATGAAGCTGCGAAATGCGGTGGATTTCGGAATCTTGTTTTCCTTTTTCCCATCTTTTTTTTGTTAATTCGTTTCTCTCGTCAAACGGGGATTCATTCACCGCGAGATGCGTCGATTCGCGATGACAAAGCGATTTAAAGCCTGATTTTCTCGCGGAATCTCGCGCAATTTCCGAGCGCGTCCAGTTACGGGGGGAAATAAAATCAAATGAAAGCAGATTGTTTCGTCTATCCTGAAAGACGAAGCTTTCTCGTTTTGCTCGTAACTTGATATATTTTTCAAGCGGATGGAATTTACGAGTTTGCTTCTTGCAGCTGCATGCAATCAAGCGCACGATGCGACTTCACGTAAAGCTTACAAGTTAATTGCACGAACTGTTTTATCGTCCCTCTCTAAATTTTATATTTCTATTCCGCGATCTAATTCATCGCTTTAGCGAAGAAAAATTAAGATATTTTAATAGGAAAAGATTTATGATGTAAATGTGTGACCGTTTGAAAAAAATTAAACATTAATTGTTCTAGAAATGAGAATCATAAACATTATATATTTCATTCCGAAACTCAATTCATTTATCTCTTTATATTAATTACCTGTTCCAATACGTGACGAATGATCGATCTGCCATAATCAAAGAGCGAGTATATTAATTATAAATTTGAAGCATTAACCACATTTAGAGCAACAGTTGATGGATGAGACGGTCCACTAATATATAACGATATACGTATGACAGGATAGTATGTTATTGTCACCATATCAATATTATTCATCGACATTATTTTTGTACACGCCGCGCGCATACATGTTTTTTTTTTTTCAAAATTCGATACTAAATTGCATCTTTTTTGAAATATTTTTTCATATGCAACATTTGCCTGTTTTTGTGCTAAAAACAAACCTGCATATACAATATATTTAAAATTTTAAAAAGTTCGTTAATGCACGAACGTTTTATTTGTTTGGTAAAAGCCACATACGTTACATTTACAAAAAGCTCGTTTCAAATCATGTTGCACTCATGTTGCATTCATGTTGCAATTTAACTTATATCATTTAAATTTAATTAAATGCATTATTAATTTCCGACTTGCAAGTTTATATCGGTTTTTGATGAAATCTGTTATTTACTATTTTCATATAGAGGAGGAAAAAAGACAGGGAACAAGAAGAGAATTAATTACTTAAATTTGACACAATACAATATTATCATAAGATTGATAAATATCAATTGTCGTTATAAATTCCGCAAATATTCAAACCAAACTGTATACTGCCTCTTCTATCCGTCATGATTTTATAAAATTATACAGAATTGTACATGTGATTCAGATGTAATTCAGTTACACTATTCACAGACACTGAAATCACCATGTCGAATCGATAAAAATGTTTGTTACAGAGGAACATCCTGCAGCGATGCATCACGGGGATGGAAGCTCGTCGTACAGCAAGACACAGCCGATTTGTTTTATAATTTTAGTGATAGCTAATATAATGTTTATATAAGGCGAGAAGTACAGAAACACACTTACCCCGACACACATGATGAAACGAGGAGCGCGATCGCCGAGAATCGCGATTTGCCTATTTAACGTCGTTAACGTTTCTTGGATAAATATTTGTGCAGGGTAAACAGAACATTTACCATTTACATTAAAAAAGAAGAGAGAAAAAAAACTTCCGTGACCAAAGAGGATTTTCAAATATCAGCACGGCACAATAATCGTTAAGAGCGTAGTATTTTGTTAACATATATCATCAAGAACGAATAACTTACGACGTCAAAATTTATTGTATTATTTGTAAATAAATTTATTGTATGTACATATCACACAATAAAACGATTGTCTTTATCTTGATCGTCTTGGTTCTTGAATGATATAAATTTGCCGAATCATCGTAACCTTTTCTTATCAAATCATAATCATTCTCATCTTTTTTATTCTCTTATATGAGAAGAATATTATTGCATAATAATGTTCCTATGCGCTGGATAAATAATAGTTTTCCTTATCTATGTTCTTGGAAAATACAGATGCGAGATTATGTCGCCAATTTTTCTCAAAGGTGTTACCTCGATTGCGATAGAAAAAGTTTGCCTCGTTATATATTTCGAGAAAGTTTCACTATATTTAATAGAGCGCAACTAGCGCATCTTCATGCCGTTCTGATTTTCCTCGGGATTGCAGAAAGAAGAAACACGGACGAGCGCGGACACCGCCGCTAATGACAACATTAATTACACGCGCTATCTCGTGCTCGTTAATTCTGGCGCGGCGCTAAATTTAGCTTGAAAAAAATACGTGCACGTAAATTCCGCGTTCAATCGCACAGTAGTGCGATCTCGATTAATCAGAAACGAAAGCCTCCCATACCTGTTCGCGTCTATCTCGTCTTAAATACTTATTTTATCTTAATAGCATTTTAGTGTCAAATTCATCCGAGACACTAACAGAGACAAAAGTACCAAAAATAAAAAAAATTTATGCAGCAGTATCTCCCGAATTAGATAGTAGCTTTAAGATTGTCGCAATTGGATTCTTCAGAGGTCGAAGGGATCTCTTGACGTTTGCGGATTGCTCCCATGATGCCGACCAAACGGACGTCACGTCAATTGGCCACCGTGCGTCATGTTGTATTCAAGTGGTCAATAAGGTCAACGTTCGGCTTTCCCGAGCGTAGAATAGGGAAGGACGGCCCTTGCAGGTTGCTGCTTACTCCAGGGACCGCAAATGTTTGCCCTCTTTTCTTTCCCGGCTCCGGCTCCGGTCGCTCGTACGTACAGTGTCATCGACTTGCCGGCCACGGAAAGGCAAGAATGGAGGTAAGGTTGAAAGTCGGGTATGTTCTACTTGTAAACCAGATAAAAGTCACCCCGTGTCAGCGCAAGCATTCACCGGTCCGCGTCCATTATCATTGAAAACATTGGGCAAAGGGATCGAAAAATTTTCCATCGCGCTACGAAATCACTCTTAACTAGACTCGCGATGATAGAGTTTGCAGAAAACAAATTAACAGATTGGGAGAATCGTGCACTACCTCATGTATCTCTTTGTATCGGTTTATCACTACGGAAAAGTGGGAAGATATCTTTGTATGCCTCGTTATATTTTTAATTCCAATTTTAATATTTTATTCATTTATTTAATTTATATATTTAATATTTTCATCATATTTGCATTAATAAGTTTCCAAACGATATTTAAATTTCAATATGAGTGAAAAAGTTTTATAAATTTCTCTTAGAATTCATTTGCATCCAATACTTTTGAAGGTAAAAAATTGTATTTTTCTATTTACTTTAATTATTGAGAAATCAATTTAAGCTTATACCATTTTTTCAATATATTATTATTACAGGAATTAATATAACGATTCGTTTATATAAATATTTTTACTTGATACGATCAGACTATACAGAGATTCGAGAAATTCAATATTTGGAGATGAATTGAAAGCGAGACCATCGTAATTTTATTATTTAATAAAAAAGATCAGAAAAAAGTATATTAAAGCTTTTTTAGGAAAGAAAGAATATGGAATTCAATAATAAAAAGCCATTCATATGGAGGGATAAAGAATCGGGAGAATAGAATTATCTTCAGCCTGCAGATTGAAATATTCAGGAATTTTGGGGAAAAGCTTATTATAAAATGCCATAATTCATATAAAGCTCTATTGTTTAAATTTTATTAATAATCATACAAAAGAATTTTAGCTTTCATATCCAACATGTTTACTTGACTTTAATAATTTAATCTCTATACATTATTTAACATTTAAATAATGTATAGATATTAAACTAGATATTAAATTTAAATGTTAAAACATTCTATAATCATATATGTATTACAAAAAGATCTGAGAAATATATTTAAAAGATAAATTTGCTTTCACCTTTGCTACCGACAACGTATATAATATGTATAAATATATGTATATATAATACGTATGTATTTTGTTTTATAGAACAGTGTTGCAAATTAGAAAACTAAAAACAATTTTATTGAATGCAAAAGAATTATTTCAGAGTTAATTCTATTATCTTTCTTAAAATAATATTAATCGAGAAGATACAATCAAAATACATAAAAGATATAATCGACACAATCAGGTGTTTGACCATTTCAGGCTCGATAATTGCGCCCGGGAAATCTCGCTAACGCGGTTAATTCCATGCGTAAATCCATCACGTAGGGCACGTGGCGCTTATCGGCGTTACGTCGCCACGAATTATGGCTACCGTTATCACCCTAGCAAGCTGAGAGAGAGCAAAAGAGAGAGAGAGAGAGAGAGAATCGTCTGAACGAAGCATAACTCGTCTAATCGCAGGACTGCGGTTGTCGATACTCGCGATTTCTGAACTTGATGCGAGAGAAGTGTCGATAGCAGGCTATCATTTTCGTTATCGTTCATCTACGTTCATCCTTGTTCGTCACTGTGGAAGAACTTTCTTCCAAACACGAGACTTGACAACTTTAGTACCCGGATCGCGGCAATTCCTCTACTCACTCTTCACCAAACTCTGCAACACGTTGAAGCAGAGGCGTTCCATTACCCTGAAGCTAAGCGGGTGCGTATACCGAGGATTAATGTTAATCTCGATGAGCCGGGCTGACATATCTTCGACCAGCATGAAATCGCCATATAATTCGAAGCTGCAACGGCATTTCTCCATATAACTCTGCGCTGCATCATCAAGAACAATGGCCTCCACCATTCTCGGATAAATCAGACCGTAATTCACCCTCATAGTCCTTCATGGTCTTCGAAAATCAAGCATAATCGCATAATGATTTATCGATCAAATTGTTTTCTAATTAGAACGGATGGCTTCTGTGACTTGAAGGTAAAAATACAAATGTCTCGCATGTAAGTGAGTTTCTTCTAATTGTAACTACATAACACTATTATTTTAATTTCAAAGCGGTAATACTTTGTCTCTATATCAGATTAAAATCATTAAAAATATCGAATTGTATTATATATTATATTTTGGAATCTCCATCTAATTTTTATGTCAGTTGACAATATAAATGAATAAATCAATATGTCATTATATAAATTAAAACAATAAAACCAATTACATTTTGTTTGTAATATGAAAAAATGTCCTGTTTCAGCTTTAAATACAAAATCAGTCACTCAATGTCGTAACATATCATACCACAGTTTGATACTTGCATAACTAAAATATGAAAGATGCATTACACCGAAGTGATTTAAGTGTGTTTTTAATTCAGATAAAACAAAGCGAGTTGAATAAAATATAATTTGTATGCATTGGACAATTTTAACGGAAAAAGCTTTGATTGTGCGGTAAATTGAAACATTTATGATATATATGTGATGAAGAGGGAGATCTACTCAACTTTAATAATCAAAACAAAAGCTCGTATTTCATTGAATAGTGCAATTATTATAAATAAACTATGGCTTCACACAAACAACCATATCTGCTTTTAATTCGATCAGTTATTAAAATACGTAAATAATTTAAATAAAAATATTATAATATGTACATATATATATATATATATATATATATATGTGTGTGTGTGTGTGTAATATATAAATATAAAGTATATATATCATATGATGTAGGAATATATAAAAAAAAATTTCATAATTCAAGCAGAAATTAGCCATCAATAAAGTATTAGTAAACGATGTAATACTATCGTAAAAAACAAATTATAAATTTTCACAACAAAATCAAATAACATTTAATTAACGATCAAACATTTATCAAGATCAAACACATGAAAATATATTTTAAAAAATCATATATGTAAAATTAAAAAATATAAAAATATTACAGAAAAATATATCGGTATTCATGCGAGAACAATAAAATGTTTTCGTTTTTAGTCTATATCTCAATATCTATCCGGATACTCTAATCCTCGATATCAGAACTGTCATTAAGATGCCATCTGGCTTATCCGCTTCGACACAGATAACTGACGACAAAGACATTATTGTCAAAATGGAACGACAGTGGAATCTTCAGATCAGATGAATGCATTTCCTGTCTCGAGAACGATCTCTTTCGAGTGATCTAAAACGCAAACAGATATATCAGCACACTGATGTCATTCTCAAGGAACATTGCAAATAATATATTTCTGTTTTATTCAATAACTCGAACATCGAACATATACATCGTGAAAAATCCAGTTCAATTTGTTATCCGAGAAAGAGAAAGCGGAAAGAATACAGCAAGGCCATTATCATCGACATCCGAACAAATGCGTTCTACGAAGAAGACGTATTTGCATACGAGTCCTCAATTTCCCTGGAATGTCCCGGAAATCGAACAAAATGGATAATTGCAACGTCTCGTGCGTACGTGAAATCACTTTAAATATTCGTTCAATTTCTCCAAATCAATTTCTTATCATTGATCACGTATTGATCTACTGCTGGCGAGTTTGTCGGGAAATCCTGCAACGCTGTCTGCATCTCTTCTCGCCGTCATACTTTTCCTGGACGGCAGTATTGCAAATATGGATCGCTTCGTGATAGAGAGAAAATATACGGTTTCGAAAACCTAAAAGCATTTCTCCGGGTAGAAAACAAGAGAAATTCTAATTTTCAATTAAGTGACGCATTATAACAATAATTAATATATAATAATATAACAATTTTATATATTTTCTATTATATCATTTTAATTAAACTCTAACGAGGATTCTCACACCTAAGCAAACTTTGACATAGTTTATAAAAAGACAATGAAAGAAAAATATCTTCTTATATTACAATTTGATGCAAAATGAATTACTGAAACAACACATCGCGAGGAGGAAAATATCCATCACTTTGTAACCATTATATTATATTGAAATATGATTTC